CGGGCGGAGGAGACAGGTGTGGGCTGCCTGCCGTGGTAAGTAGCGGACAGGAGGTGGGCTCTGGAGTGACCCGCCTCTCCTCCAGGCCCATCGAGGTAGCCCCTCCCTTTCTGGTTGTCTGACCTCTGCATTGGCAGCCCCTCCCCTCCCCTCCCTCCCCTCCCCTCCCCTCCCGAGATCCCTTCCCTGTCTCTTCTTGTGGTAGCGGGTTAGTGTTTCAGTGTTTTTAACTTCAATCTGCTTGTTCATTGTACAATGTGCTTCTTTTAAAGGCCTCATTTTTGTAACTTGTGTCATTCATCTGAACAAACAAACATCAAAAAAATAAAAAAATGAAAAACTGTACAGAGAGAAACGGCGTGTGGTGTGGCTTGGCCTCCTGTGTCCTGGGAATCATAGGTCAGGGTTTGGGTAGAAATGGGAACTGGGGACGGGAAAGAGACTGTTCAAACACAGTAAGGGAATCTCTAGCTTCAGCCTTTCAAATCCTGGGACTGCAGGGCCATGCGGCCCCTCCTGAGTACTCAGGGCAAGTCTGAGTCACCTGGTGAGTGCCAGGCCAACCCAGGCTAAAGATCTCACAACAGACAACCACCTATACACAACGGTTGGAAGGCCTGCAAAAAAAACCGTTTTCTACACTCAGAAAATGTGAGGGATTTAGGAACAATTCAAATTCCTGTGTCCAAATCTCAGTTCTGCCATTTTTTTCAGTAGACACGGGCTACCGTGGTCTCGGTGGTAGACAGGGCCGTGCCTACTTCCTGGTACTGTGAAGCTGAATGGAATGCTGAAATGATTAGGGCGGTTGGGGATGGTGCCGGGTGCTTTTAATTCCAGCACCCAGGAGGAAGACGCTGGCTGTCCTCTGTGAGCTTGATGTCAGCCTCTTCTACAATGAATTCCAGCCAGCCAGGGCTACACAGTGAGACCCAGCCCTAATAATAAATAAATAAAGCTTAGGACAGGCAGCTCTCTAGAATACTGCCTTCAGTAAGAACCATAAAGAAGGGGCTGGAGAGATGGCTCAGAGGTTAAGAGCACTGACTTTTCTTCCAGGGGTCCTGAGTTCAATTCCCAGCAACCACATGGTGACTCACAACCATCTACAATTCAATCTGGTGTCCTCTTCTGGCATGTAGGCAGAACACTGTATATGTAATAAATAAATAAATCTTTAAAAAAAAAGAGCCGGGTGGTGGTGGCGCACGCCTTTAATCCCAGCACTCGGGAGGCAGAGGCAGGCGGATCTCTGTGAGTTCGAGGCCAGGCTGGACCGATAGCCTCGAAAACAATACAGAGAAACCCTGTCTCGTAAAAAGCAAAAAAAGAAAAAAAAAAAACCACAAAGAAGCCAGGAAATCAGCCAATACTGCCCACCTCCCTCCCTGGGTGCCTCCCCAAAGAACTAAAGACTTTAAAATAAGAGCTGATGTGCCAGGCGGTGGTGCCAGCACTAGGGAGGCAGAGGCAGGTGGATATCTGAGTTTGAGGCCAGCCCGGTCTATACAGAGAAACCCTGTCTTGAAAAACCAAGGGGGAAAAAAAGAAAGAGTTGATAATGAGACTTGAGTCAGTGAAGTGCTTGTCTGGTGAGCTCAGGGACAGGAGTTCGAGCCCCGAATGCATGCAAAAATGCTGGCACCCCTGGAATTCCAGCACTAGGAAGGTGGGGAGAGGTGGATTCCTGGGAGCTGGGAGGAGGGTGGCCAGTCTTGCATAATTGGTGAGCTCCAGGTCAGGGCAATGAGAGATCCCGTCTCAGAGGAGGTGAACGGTGTTGCTGGGGACAAAGGGTAAGGCTGTCCTCAAGCTCCCGCATGTGCATACATGAACACACATGAGAATTAAAAAGGGAAAAGAAGTTATTGCTAAATCCAAGCCAGTGTTGGGACACAGACCTCTAATCCTAGCACTCAGGAGGCAATGACAGAGTTCAAGATCATTTTTGCATACGTAAGTAACCAACCTGGGCTACGTAAGATCTTGCCTCAAAGATAAATGAGAATGCATGAGACTGGAGGAGAGTTTGAAGCGATCTGGGCTGCACAGTTAAGACCTTGGCTCAAAAAGAGGCAGGGGGCTGAGGGTATGGCTTAGTGGTAAATCACCAGCGCATGTGTGAGGTTGTGAGTTTCAATCCCCAGGGTCTCACACACACACACACACACACACACACACACACACACACACACACACACACACTTGAATTGATACAATGTATGTACCTACTTTGAGGGACATTAGCTCAAATTATCCTGCCATCTTCAACTAGTCAGTTGCAGAAGCAACTTCCCAGGTCAGGACTAGGTGACTCCCAGATGCCACCACTGAAAAATCAGAGCTAGTCTTAACACTCTCAGTGCCAGACACAGAGCACCACCGGCCCTCAGCTGTCCTTGTTGAGGCCTGCCTGGCACACAGGTGCTGGGATCCAGGCAACCCAGTAGGAAAGCCTGAAGATGGGAGAAATGAGCTATCTCCATTAAAAAAAAAAAAGCACCGTCAGTAATAGTTGGCTGAGGAAGATTCTCGCCAGCCTTCAGGGGGTTGCAGTCGGAACCATAGACGGTCCCAGGGCTCACACACTTGCGAGCACTCTGGTTCGGAGTCCTCCACTCCGCATCTGCCCGGAAGGTGTACCTCGCAGGCTCTTGGGCATGCCACACCTGGTTAGCTGGCCGTCAGGCATTGCGAGCCGCCAGGGGGGCAGATGCTCTGGTCCCTTGGCTATTTTGCTTCTGCGACAGTCAGTGCAGCCGGGTGTGGTGACAGGGGCCCGCAACTCTAGCACTCAGGCTGAGGCGAGAGGGAGGCTGGGTCACAATTGTCTCACAAAGGGAATCAGGCAAGGCCAGCCTTTCTTAGGAGGGCCTGAGGTCACTTCCATTAGAATCACTAGCCAGCACAGGTCCCTGGATTTCACCTTGGCTGGCTGGCTGGGTGCACCTCTTAGGGAGGGGCATCTAACATCCGCTCAGTTTGGGGATGTCGTATCGTCTTTCTTTAGGCCTAAGGCTCAAAGACCATCAGTGTTCAGGGGCTGGTCACCTTTGTCCTTTTAGGGATACGTGTGCTGTGTAGGATGTGTATGCCCACATGCAAAAGGGCATCTGGTCCCCTGGAGCTGGATTCACAGGCAGGTGAGAGCCACCCAGCATGGGTCCTCGGGGACACCTTTCTAGTCAGGATTTCCCTATGTAGTCTTGGCTGGCCTCTGTAGACCAGGCTGGCCTCCAACCTGCCAGCCTCTAGTGCTGGGACTAAAGGTGTGCACCACCACACCTGTTTTTCTTTTTTTTGAGGGGAGTTAATGGATGGCCACCCCACTGTTAAGAGGGGAATCTCTTGATGAAGACACCCTAATATTGTGGCCAACCATCATCATTTTCCCTCCGTTCTCTTCCCCTCACAATTGCTTTTCATCTGGTTCGCAAAGACAAAGGATCTTACCGTTCTAACCGTTTATTTGACATGGCCTGCACCAACAGCACATATGTTTGAAAGGGGTTTGTTCCTGAGTGCCTTTGGTCCTGGGGAGTAGGACCTGGTATTTGGGGCTAGTGGTTTAGTCTCTCCTGCAGGGCTGGCAGGCATTGAGGATGGAAAACCAACTCTGGGAGTCATTCTTCATAAGTAACAGGATATCCAATAGGTGCTTTTCCGCTAACGTTTATTTTTGCGTGACTGCGGTGCCCAGGGAGAGGTCAAAGGACAACTTTTGGGAGTTGGTTCCACCATGAGCTCTAGGGAATCAAAGGAAGGCCGTAAGGTCTGTGTGGTAAGAGAATTTACCTGCTGGGACCTTTGCCAGGTTGTAACAGGTGTTTTCTTTTTAAAATTATAACCAGGACAATGGCATAAAGATAAAGAGGAACAGCGGATCAAGGTAACAGGCCTGACCCGAGGGCGGGTCTAAGGCCTCCGCTGCCCCCAGGTTCCTTACATCTCTCACAGTGTCCTTCTAAGCAAAGGGATTCTTCTAGAAGGAACTGGAAGAATCTCGGAGCAGGAGGTTCCCTCAGCCAGTCACTTCCACTGCCTCTCGGGAAAGGTCATGGGACAGACAGAACAGGGTACGGACGATTAAACCAAATGAAACTTTAAATTCAAGCCCTGCCCTGAGCTCAACTGACCACTCAGCAAGTCATTCCAGAGGCCTCCTGTGTAAAACGTGCTCTCCACAGGGTTAACTGCGAACGTTAGCCAAAATAACCAAGGGCACAGGGTTATAATCCCAGCTACTCAGGGGCTGAAGCAGGAGGATGGCCACGCTCAGAGCCTGCCTTGGATATAGAGAGTCCAAGGCCAACCGGGCAATCAGCAAAACCTGGTCTTGAGATGAAAAGGAGACAAGGATGTAGCTTGGTGGTGGTCAGCTTGCCCAGCATGTGAGATCCAAGTGAATCTGCAGTTCCTGGTGTGTGTGCACGCGCATGTGTGTGTGTCTGTGAGTGTGTGCGCGTGAGTGTCTGTGAGTGAGTGTGTGTGTGTGTGTGAGTGTGACCGCGCGTACGGGGGTACTTCAGATATATTGGACAACAGTCACTACCCAACCGCCCCATCACTTTCTTCCTACTAGAAACATCTATTGGCTGAGCCACAACGGGGACCCTCACTCAGAACTTCCAGCTGTCACTGGGTAAAGCCCCAGGAGCTCCCTCTGCCACTGGGGGGCTGGGGTGGAGAAGTACACCAAGCTTCTCTCAATGATCCAACAACACGCCCCCCAACAAACTCCTCAAGACCTCCTTCCTCAGGCTGTGGGGCCCTCTAGTGGCCAAACATGCTGCTTCATCTGACATGAGGTCTGTTTCAAAGAACCAGGCCACCGACTCCAGCTGTCTTCTCTTCCATCCAGCCAACTGTACCAACTCTTACTCCTGGCAACTTCTATCAGGGCTACTGGGGACACGGCCAGGGGAGGGTGGAGCTAGTGCCTGGCCTCGTGATCCCCAAATCCACCCTGCATACCCGAGCCTGACAAAGGCACAGAAATGTCCAACTCAGTCTTTATTGAGGCTTCACTTGGAGGCCACCAAACAGGTGGGAGGTGGGGACAGGGACAGGGGTCCTTTATGGTATCGAGGGCCTCAGAGAAGCCCCCGCACAAGAAAAATAAATTTAGTTACACAACTTATATAGTGGTGGAGAGGAGAGAGGGGTACACTATGTACACAGGTTTTAAGGGGCTGCTGGAGGCCTCCAGCATCAGAGCTCGCGGATGTTGAAGAGAAAGATGGAGGCCAGTCAGCCGCTGATCTGGACCCCCTCGGCCTCCGCTAGCGGGTAGATCTCAATGGCCTCCACGAGGGGCAGAGCCTCCACTGCGGTCTCCATCACTGCCAGCCCCACGGCGGCCTCCGCCTCCGCCAGCTGCTGCCGCACTGCCGCCTGGTGCTGCTGCTGGTGAGTCTTGCGGTGCTTCCAGAGGTTGGAGAAGGAGCGGTAGCTCTTGCCGCAGTCGGGGCAGGAGTAGGGCCGCTCCCCCGTGTGGATGCGGCGATGCTCTGCCAGGCGCATGGAGATGGCAAAGGCCTTGCCGCACACTTCGCAGGCGAAGGGCCGCTCCCCCGTGTGCAGGCGCCGGTGGTCTTTCAGGTGGGTGCTCTGGCGGAAGGCCTTGCCACAGTCCGGACACGGGTATGGCCGCTCCCCCGTGTGGATGCGGCGGTGCACCTGCAGCGACGTCTCTGTGCTGAAGAGCTTCTTGCACTCGCTGCATTCCAGGCCGCGCCGCCTTGCAGGGGCTGCGGGGGCGGCAGAGGCGGCACCACCCAGGGCTGTTGGGGAGGGAGTGACGGGCGAGCGAGCGGCCCGGGAGGCCCTGGGAGCCTGGGGCTCCTTAGCCAGGACTTCCCCAGGGCCAGCAGCAGCATGGGCAGCTTCATGGGCCTGCAGGCGGGCGGCAGAGCCCACTTTCTTGCCACAGGTCCCACACTCGAAGCGCCGAGGGCCCTGGGTGGCAGCGGCGGCGCAGCGGTGCTCGTAAAGTCGCAGCGAGGAGGGGAAGGCGGCCCCACAGGACTGGCAGTAGTGGGGCTGGCGCCCGGCGTGGATGAGCTGGTGCACCTCGAGCAGCCGGCGCAACAGGAAGGAGCGGGAGCACTCGCGACACTTGTAGGGGTACTCGCCCGTGTGGTGGTAGCGGTGCATGAGCAGGCGGTAAGGGCGGTGAAAACGCAGCCCGCACTCCTGGCAGCGGTAGGGGAAATGCTGGGCATGCACCAGGCGATGCTGCCTCAGAGTGGAGCTCTGAGTGAACGCCTTGCCACAGTCCCCACACCGGTAGGGCCGCTCCCCGGTGTGCGTGAGCCGGTGGCGGGCCAGGTTGGCGGGCGAGTTGAAGGGCTTGGAGCAGTCAGGGCAGGGGAAGGGCCGTTCCCCGGTGTGCGTGCGCATGTGGTTCCGCACGTGAGACTTCTTCTTGAACATCTTGCCACAGATGCTGCATTTGTGGCGCCGTTCCAGCCGGTGCACAAAGCGCTGGTGCCGGGTCAGCTGCAGCGCCTTGACAAACTCGCGGCTGCACAGGAGGCAGCGGTAGGTGCCCGGAGCTGCAGGCTCTGCTGGGTTCTCCTCAGACGCCGGGGGCTCGGGGGCCTCTGGCTCTCCGGCCTCTGCGGGCGCTGGCTCAGGAAGGCTAATGGCAGGCTCCTCCGGCTGAACCGGTGCTGCGGGCAGAGGGACGCCTCCCGCCCCGTGGGTGCGCCGGTGATACAGGAACTTTGTAAGGTTGACAAAGGTCTTGCCACAGGGGCAGGAATGCAGAGGATTCGGGGTATGGGCCCGCCGGTGCGCCAAGAGAAGGGCTTCTGTGCCGAAGGCCAGGCCACAGTCTACGCACAGGAAGTGAGACTCGCTGCTGTGGTCACCAAGGTGCTGATCGAGACGCGAAGGGCTGGGGAAGACGCGACTGCACAGGGGACACTTAAAGACGCCCTCCCGGTGACTCCGCAAGTGCTGCTGTAGCTGGTGTGGAGAGAGGAAGAGCTGGTCACAGGCCGAGCAGAAGAGTTCCTGGGTGGCCGCCCCGCCTGACTCCCCGCTGTTGGTCCTCCGGGACTTCCGGCCCCGCCGATCCCGGCCAATGGCCTCCCCGTTGCGCAGCTCATAACTGTGGTCAGAGGCCGGCAGGGGGTCAGGAAGAGGGGCTGCCACCTCGGTGGGCGAGGGCATCAGGGCCTCCTGCTTGACGGCAGGCTCCGCGGCCTCTGCGACAGCAGGGAAGTGGGTGGCCTGGTGCTCCAGGAAGTCGGCGGGCAGCTGGAACAGCTGGGAGCACTCGGAGCACTTGTAGAGCAGCAGCTCGACCTCTGTCACCATCTCGGTGGCGGCGGTGGCGGTGGCCGCAGACGGCACAGCTGCCCCTTCGCCGCCTTCTTCTGCCTTCCGGTAAGAGTGCTCCACAGCCACTCGCGTCTGGCCCACGGGGGGGCCGAGGACAACCGGGGACCCCAAGACAGCTGGGGCGGGAGCTTTGGTGGGTGTGGCCCGGAGATGCATCTGCCGATGGCTCAGCCACAGCTCCTGGCTGGCGAACAGAGCCTTGCAGTCCACACACTCATAGTGGATGGCGCTGGAGCTCAGGGGGGACACCTTGGGTGGTGGCTCGGCTGGCACTGCCTCCTGCGGGGCCATCATCTTCAGGTGGAGCTCCTGGTGCTCCAGGAGCTGGCTGGGCGACAGCAGTAGCTGTCCGCACTCAAGACACTGGTACTGGCTTTCCTGTATGAGGGTCTGGTACAGGCCTGTGCCTGAGGCTGCCTCCGTGGCCACCGCCACGCCAGGGTCAGCCACGCCCACCAGCTCAAAGTGCTGCTGGGGCACGTGGGAGTTCTGGTGCACAAGCACCTCCTCCAAGGATCCATAGAGCTGGTTGCACTCAGAGCAGACATAGCGGTGCTCAATATACAGGACCGTCTCCTCGCTCTCCTCGGTCATGGCAGCGGCAAGGCCTGGGCTGAGAGAAGGGAGGGCGGGGACAAGTCACGCCTCTCTGCGGGCCAGATCTATCCCTTTATCACCTCACATATATTTCCTCCTCCAACCTGATGAGATTTTCCACTCCAACACCCTCCCTCAACACAGAAGCAGCCAGCATGGCTCTCCCGCAGCCTGTTCCAGAGTCTACCCCAAGTCTCCCGTCTCAGTTAAGTTGCATCCAACCCCACCCACCAGATTCTGTGACCTCTCCATTGCCACGCCTCCAAACAGGCTCCCCAGGCCCTGTGTGCCCAACAGGACCGGGCCTCCCTGTGGTGCAGGCGCTTCCTGAGTCCTCACCATTGCACAGGGCTGTGCCCCTTCCCCCCCAGTCCTCACACACTCCCTAACCTCTGCTCTCCTATGTGGACTCTGCTCTCTCGGAGGCTCCCAAACTTTATACACTTACACCACCCACTCTATTTTAGCAGCTGGTGGTCTGAGCGCTCCTTCTGCCCCCCAACTGTACCCAGATTCCTCACATCAAGTCACCCAATATGCAACTTTCTCTCACTGGCTTACTCCCTGGCCAGACTTCCCGACTCTCAGGAACTGGTTCAAACTAAACGTATCACGACCTTCTCAACCAGGTAGTGGTGGCGCAGGTCTTTAATCCCAGCACGCAGAGGCAGTACTAGTCGGATCTCTGAGTTCAAGGCCAGCCTGGTCCACAGAACAAGTTCCAGGTCAGCCAAGGCTACTTGGAGAAACCCTGTCAAGAAAAGATAATTAATAATAGTACAGGACCTCCCATATTATCCCTAAAAGGCAGGCCACAGAAGCCCAATCCTTTACACCTATTCTCACATTTCTCACACGCCCCCAGGGAACCCAAACACTACACACTCAGATCCCCTTTCCAGTGACATAACTCTTGTTCCTATGGCCACAAGTCAGCTGGGGACGTCTACCTATATGGCCAGGTTTTTTGTTGTTGTTTTGTTTTATTTTTTTTCGAGACAGGGTTTCTCTGTGGCTTTGGAGGCTGTCCTGGAACTCGATCTGTAGACCAGGCTGGTCTCAATCTGACAGAGATCGACCTGCCTCTGCCTCCTGAGTGCTGGGATTAAAGGCTCGAGCCACCAACGCCCGGATCCTTTTTTTTTTTTTTTTAAATCAACACCACCCTTACAACCTTAACCCATCCCAAAACCCCCCTTCAGAGTATGGGTCTAAACCTTTCTTCTTTTTACAAAGGACCCAAATCCTAACCCCCTCCAGGAACTTTTAGATCCCCATTTTCATGTAGGTTGGACATATCCATTTTTGCAAGAAGATCCTCACACAACTGTATAATCTTGTCCAGGGATATCCAGCCTATCCTTCACGATGGCTTAACCCTTCCCCTCTTGCTGGGTCTATCCTCTTCAGGATAAACCCTCTCACCAGCTGACTATGGGGATCCCCAGAACTCCAAAGTTAGCAGTATGTCACGTCACATCTCATTCCCAGACTACCCCCTCTCTGTAACCCTCTCTCCCCAGATACACCCACGACTGCCCAAATCTCCACTTTGGCCTACTTACCTGAACCTAAAACAAAAACTATCCCTCCCCAGCTCAACCTACGGGTGCCCGGAAGAACATAAACACCGCTGTCAACATTTTCCAAGGGAACTCCAACCCCCAGTTTCATGGGCTTAGCGACCTTTCACAGAACCCCCGTTTCCCACACCTGGATCGCTCCCGTTAGTTCTAAAGATACTTCAAACCCCTTCTCTGCCTTAGTTTTTTTTTTTTTCTTTCCAGGCAGAAATCGATTTTCCTCCCTGCATCCATTACCTCCTTTCCCGGGCCACCTTCCCACCCCGGCACCCAAGAGCCAGCCCTCCGATCGTCCCCTTTCGATCCTGGCCCCAGCCCAGCGCACCCAGCCGTGGCCCCGATCCCCCACGCAACCAGAGCGCCCTCCGCCGGAGCAGCTCTGGGACCTCCCCTTCCCGCCGAGGCCGGCCCCCGGCCCGCAGCCCGAGCCCTGCCCCTCCTCACTCAGCCCCGCACACAACTCCAGTCCCTCTACCCCACCCGCCGGCCCGGCCCGGCCCGGCCCCGGCCCCCGCCCTGCCCGCGCGCCCGGCGGCCAACGGCCGCTCCGCCCTCCGCACCGGGGCGCGCTCCTTCAGGCCTTCAGCGTGCTAGCCGAATGACGCGAGCGAGCCGCGGGGCGGGGGCCGGGCCTCCGCGCTCCCGCGGGAACTCACCCGCCTCGGCCGTCTAGCCGGCCCCCGGCCGGGCCGCGGGCTGCAGCTCCCTTTGCACAGCCACTCTAGCTCCGCGTCCTCTCTAGCGCCCGTCGTCTCGCCTGCTCCGCAGCCTCGCTCTCGTCCGGGAGGCTTCCCCCCCCCCCCCCCCCGCCTCAACAACGCCCCGCCCACCTCCCGCCACCGCGCCCAATCACCGCCCGTCTGGCCCTTGCCGTTCGGCCAACCGGGGCTCAAGCCTCTGAGGCCTCAGCCAATAGCGCGGAGGGGGCGGGATCAGGCGGCATCCAGCCAATCCTCTCGCAATGTTCTCTCACCGGTCGGCCTCCTCCCGAGAGGATCCTCCCCCTCCCTTCTCTTCTGGGACTCCGCCTCGGGTGGTCGAAAGGGCATCGCTGAACGGAGAGCTGCGTGATGACGTCGGGGGGGCGGGGCCTGGGCGGCGGGCGCCATCTTGGGGGCGCCCGGGAGGCCAGCGTCGGTGGAGGGGTTTTGGGCACGGGCAGGGATCGGGAGGCTCGCAGAGGGCTCTGAGGCCGGTGGGGTCACAGCCCAAGAACTGCCCCGGGGCCAGTGGCAGGAAGCGAAGCACCACACGGTGCGGGCGGCCGAGCCGGCCAGGCAGCAGCAGTCGGGCCGCGTGCAAGGGGGAAAGCCAGGCTGCAAGACTTTTACTCCTTTATTCAGGGGCATGGAAGAGGAGGAAAACGGAGGAGGACTGGCGTGGGAAGGAAATGTTAGGAGAGGAAAGCTGAAGGACGCGCGGGAAGCGGGAGGAGAGGGCCCGGGAGAAGCCCAGGAAAGCTGGGCTGGAAGAAGCGGAGTTGGGTGCAGAGCCAGACGAGGGAAGCGGGCCCGCACTGCGGCGAGTCGCTTGGGGCTTTTGTTCTTGCTTTTTGAGACGGAGCCTCGCTGTGCAGGGCAGGCTGGTGTCACGGAGACCCGCCTGACTCTGCATCATTCCTCTTTCGGGGAGAACGTCGTCCCGCACAGCCCACGACAGCCAGGGTTACACATAAGAAAGAGACCCCGTTCCTGGGCGGTGGCGGCGCACGCCTTTCATCCCGGCACTCGGGACGCAGAGGCAGGCGGGTCTCTGGGAGTTCGAGGCCAGCCTGGTCTACAGAGTGCGTTCTCTCAGACTCCAAAGCTACAGAAAAACCGTCTTGAAAAACAAACAAGAAACCCTATAGCTTTTCCTCTTCCCCTGGACTAACTCTCGTAACAGTTCCTTTCCATGCCTCCCCTCCTTATTTTTCCCCTCTTTCATGCCCCCTGAATAAAGAAATAAAAACTTCAGCCTTGGTTTCCCACTTAGCGTGACTGCTGCTGCCTGGTCCCCTCTGCCATTCACACCTGTGGTGTTTCACTTTCTGCCACTGGCCCCGGGGGTTCTTGGGCTGTAATCCACTGGCCTTCAGAACCCTGCGTGCCTCGATAACTCACACTTTGCCCGAAACCCTAGCCGTTGCTTGCCGGCTGGGTACCCCCAAGATGGTGGGTGCCTACTGCTTCATCCTGCCTCTTGGAAACCTCTCTCTCTCTCTCTCTCCCTCTCTCTCTCTCCCTCTCTCTCTCTCTCCCTCTCTCTCTCTCCATCTCTCTCTCTCCCTCTCTCTCTCTCTCTCTCTCTCTCTCCTCTCTCTCTCTCTCTCTCTCTCTCTCTCTCCTCTCTCTCTCTCTCCTCCTCTCTCTCTCTCCTCTCTCTCTTTCCCCTCTCTCTCTTTTTACGAGACAGGGTTTCTCTGTATTGTTTTGGAGGCTGTCGGTCTATCCCGGCCTCGAACTCACAGAGATCCGCCTGCCTCTGCCTCCCGAGTGCTGGGATTAAAGGCGTGCGCCACCAACGCCCAGCGTGTCTCTTTTTTAGTGGAGAGTGACTGAGGAAGATGGTCATTGTCTATATTTGAACTCCAAATTTGAACCCCAAAGTTTTCTGGAAGCTCCTTGAGTCCAAGATCAGAGGTGCATTTGATCAAATTCTGTCCCTCATTTTTCAGATGAGAAAACCGAGTCTCAGAGTTGGGCCATTTCCCTTTCTGAAGCCAAAAAACTATTAGGCGATCAGACACAGGCTCTCTGGTTGCCACCTTCTGTGTGCCTTTTTTTTCCCTCGTGACAGGGTTTCTATTGTTTAGGAGGCTGTCCTGGAACTTGCTCTGTTGACCAGGCTGGCCTCGAACTCAGAGATCCGCCTGCCTCTGCCTCCCCAGTGCTGGGATGAAAGGCGTGTGCCACCAATGCCCGGCTTGTGTGCCTTTCTACGGGTGTCTAACTGGATGTCCTAACTTCTCTCTAAATTCCCTACCAGCAGGCCCAGGTTTAAACTGGGCTGCTTGGCCTGAATGCTGGCCCTGGGCTTCCTAGCTGTGACTTTGGGCTAAGCAACTCCACTGTGTCTCGGTTGCTTTCCTGGGATAAAAGAACGGCAGACTCTGCCCCAGAGTCGTGAAGCACTAAGTAAACACTGCTATATGGACTATTACATTTTGAGGTAGAGTCTCTGTAATCCTGGCTGCCCTGGAACTCTATAGACCCGGCTGGCCTACAGGGGATCCACCTGCCTCTGCCTGCTGGGATTAAAGGCATGCGCCACTAACCCTGGCTCGGGAAGTTATTTTTAGTATTTCCTGTTTATTAGGATCTGAAGGTGCCTAATGAGAGCTGACATCTGAGTGTGTTAGGTGACACTAGGGGTTCTGCCCAGTGATTGTCATGCATTATTAAATTCTCCAATCAACCCTCAGGGAAAAACAACTGCCCTGGGGTACTCAGACACAGAGGCCCAGGAAATCGTGTCCAAGTTCCCATAGGAAATAAAGCCATCATTCCACCCCAGGGAAAAATCACCTCCCTAGGGCTACACTCAATTCCCTAGTGGGTGGATTGTTTGTGGTCATAGGATCACCGGCTGACTTAGTGGGTGGTCATAGGGTCACCTGCTGACTTAGTGGGTGGTCATAGGGTCACCGGCTGACTTAGTGGGTGGTCATAGGATCACCGGCTGACTTAGTGGGTGGTCATAGGGTTACCTGCTGACTTAGTGGGTGGTCATAGGGTCACCGGCTGACTTAGTGGGTGGTCATAGGGTCACCGGCTGACTTAGTGGGTGGTCATAGGGTCACCGGCTGACTTCAAGAAGAGCTAAGCGAAGGATGGGTTGGGGGAAGGATGGAGAGAGAGAGCAGGGCTGCAGACTTTTTTTTGGTTTTTCGAGACAGGGTTTCTCTGTGGCTTTGGAGGCTGTCCTGGAACTCGCTCTTGTAGACCAGGCTGGCCTCGAACTCACAGAGATCCGACTGCCTCTGCCTCCCAAGTGCTGGGATTAAAGGTGTGTACCACCAAAGCCCGGCTAGGGCTGCAGACTTTAAAAATAAACCATAAAGGGGAATGCAGGGGTGATGGGACTTAGTTTACTCCACGGTCAGGGCCTGGCCGCTGTCTGATGTAGTCTGGGTTTGCCCTGGGGTGAAGTCAATGTGTGGGAGTCAGCGTGCAAGCCAGCCTCAACCTTAGGCAGGTTCTGTGCTCTGGAGTAGTGTTTCGTACCTGCCGAGGCCTCCTCTTGCCTCTCGGGGTTCCAGCTTGGCTCCTCTCTGTAAACCTGTTCGGACACCCCAACTTATTTGGGCTGGCAAAATCCTGTCTCTGCAGAGGAAGCTGAGGCCTGGTCAGACATTCTGGTGGTGGCACTGGACTGGAATTTTTGGGGACAGACAGGGAGGTCGGATGGTGAACGCACCTGGATCCGCAAAGACCCAGAGGCAGGCCCGGAGTACTGACCCTAAGCTCGGTTGGAGCAGTGTTAAGGAGACTGCAGGTGTTAACCCCAGTAGGCTAGGATGAAGAGGCGTATACAAAACTGGTGGTCCTTCAGGGTCAGGTGACATGTCACGTGTTTGTTGGGTACGTCCCACATAGTCAGAGCTCGCCATGCCAGGCCTGGTGTAGTCTGAACTGCCACGTGCCAACCGTGTGTGCGAGGCATGTGGTCACATGTGCCGGGGGCTGCACGTGAGAGTGTCAGTGTCTCCGCCCCATCACGAGCCTGGGGGTGGTGGTGAGTCACGGGCTCAGCCTTCAGCACCAACTGTCATGTTCCTTCCCCCCAAATTTCACCCCCCACACACACACACCCAGCCATGCACCACCCACCCCCACGTGAAGATGTATGTTGGTTCTCCATTCCATCCCCCTGCCCTTCTGGGCTCCCTCAGAGAGGCAGCAGTGTTCCCTGCCATTTTTGTCACCCCTCCCCACTGCCTAAGTGAGTGGAAGATGGAGGTCTCCCTTCCCACTCAACCCCGCGGGTCCCCGGGAGTCCTCTGTGCATAGTGGAGAAGTCCCAGCCGCCTCCCCTTGTCATCACCAGCTAGCCATGCCTGCCTCAGTGGGCCTCTCAGGGCTACGAGTCACATGACTGTGGGTCTCCCTCCCCCCCCCGTGGGACTGTGTCCCCTGATTCAATGACCTCTCCTCGCTCTCTGCTCTCTGGTCTGTCTCCCTTCTGGGTATGGCTCTCTATCCAGAGGAGTCTTTCTGCGTCTGTCCCTCTGTCTCTGGCCTCTTCCCCACCTTCAGACATCTCTGTCCCTAAGCTGCTCTCTGTCCTCGTGTGGCTTCCTTCTTATTAATGCCCTGTCGTTGGCCTTGTGGACCTAGGCCCCCCCTCTGTGGGGTCTTGATGCTGTCTTTCTGTTTCTTGTGTTTTTTTCTCCATCTGTAGTCCCCTCTCGCCACCTCTAGGCCCTTCCTCAGTTCTCCCCATCCAAGCCGCTCATCTCCATGGGCTCCAGTACCCAGGACTGCCTGGGCAGGGCGGTGGCATGGTGTGGTTGGAGGGGGTGGCCCCGGGGGGGGGGGCCCTTCATCCAATGCAGCTCGCTCTTCTCATCAGCATTCCCCTCGCAGGGCCCCCCTGCCCCGACCAATACGATCTCCCCCTCCCCTGCTCCCCTCCCTCCTTGCTCCCTGCCTGCCTCCCTCCCTTCCTCCAGCCCGCCCTCCTCCCTGCCTCCCTCCCTCCCTCCATCTCTCCCCTCCACCACCACCACCACCCCCCCGCGCTCCAGGACCCAGCGCGGGCGGGCGGGCGGGCAGGCGGCGGCCCAGGAGGGGAGAAGGAGCGGCGGCGGCAGCGGTAGTAGCGGCCGGCCGGCCGGCAGCAGGGACGCAGGCCCGGCTGGGGACACGGAGCCGCCAGCGGCGGCTGCTGCTCACGGGGTGGGGGGACCAGAGACCGCCGCCAGACCCTCCCACCGAGAGCGGGCCGCCCCCGGGACACCCCACCCTCCCCCGCCTGCCTTCGCGTTCCACCTGCTTCTCTCCATCCTCTCCTCCCTCCCACCCGCCTCGTCCCTCCGCCCCTTCTGCCCCCTTCTCGGTGTCCCCGGTCCCTGCCCGGCCTCTCCTGGCCCCCAAGCATGCTTCTCCCGTGGGGACTGAGGGCTTGAGGACTCCGGGCCCTAGCCTCATCCAGGGCAGGGCCGAGGCTCCGGGGGAAGGGGGGGAAGGGGGCGGCCCCCTCCCCCCCAGCAGGCCCTCCCCTCCCCCACGTCTCCCGATGGCCGGCTTTCTTTTCTCCACGCAGTCCTCGCCCCCTGTGCCCCCCCCAGGCCGGCCTGGCTAGGGGAGGGGGCGGGGGCCCTTTCCTGGGCCGGCTTCCCCCTCCCCCGGCTTTGCCTGTGCCCCCTCCCTTCCGTTTTCACCTTCCTCTCCTCCTTTCCTCCCTCCTTCCCCTCCGTTTGCTCCTTCCCCCTCTCCGCTCTCCCCTTCTCTCCTCCATTTTCTCCTTTCCCCTTCCTCCCCTCCTGGCCCGCCCTTTGCTTTTCCACCTGTCCTTCCTCCCCGCTGCCGGGGAGACACCGCTTTGGATTAGTTGGGGGCCACCGCCGGCGGCGGGGGAGGGGGCCCAGTGGACTGCCCTCTCCCCCGGCCCCAGCCTCACCAGCACCCGGAGTCGGAGCATCTCCTGCCTGGCGTCCCTCGGGCCTCGAGGGAGCCCAGCTCTCCGTCCCACCAGGATCCGTGAGTGTTTGCAGGGCGGGGACTGGGCTGGGTCCTGGGTCCTGCAAGGCCAGGCTCCCTGTCCGGCTGGCAGGGCCCCCACAGTCCCTGCCACCCGTGGATGGCAAGGAACCCACTCCCCACTGTTTTGTGCCCTCCCTCTCAACGTCTCATCCTCCGCGGCCTTTCCTCATCCTCACTTCTGGGCACACACCTCACACCTGCCCTCAGTCCCAGACTGCCCCGGTCCTGTGGGCTCGGCTGGCCCTGTGCTATCTCGCTTCACGGGGGCTCTGGCTCGCTTCTTCTCCAAGCTTTTGGTCCCAGACCCAACGGGCTTCTGACTTGTGCGCTGATTTCCTCTCTCTTCCCCCTCCGCTTTCTCTGCCTTTCCATAGGCCGGGTCCCCTTGCACCTCTTGTCTCCTGGAAATGCCTTTGCATTTTCAAGCCTGCCTCTCTCGCCTGTCCCCCGGGCCTGTCCGACTGTGCGCAACTTCCCTGTCCTCCTAACCCTGTCTCAGTAGGAGACGCAGATTCCCAGCTAGCCTCCTTCCCACACGTCTTTCCTTCTTTGCCCTGTCCTCTCCACCTCCAGAGTTCCTCTCTCACTTTCCAACTTTCCTCCCCCAGACCCAGCGCGGGTCCCCAATCTTCCCCTCTGTAGCTGCCCCCTCTCCCCTGGTCCCTGGCTTGTGCCCTGGCTCTCCCATCCACCCTCCCAGCCTCTCTTCCCACTCCTGAACCACACCGCCTGGTCTTTCTGCCTCCGCCCCTCTTGGCACCCCTGGACTGGGAGCTCTGGGATCCTCTGCCCTCCTGCAGGCCTCACTGAATTTCTGCACCTGAGGGGGGGGCTGATGTGCCTCAGTTTCCCTCCTGGCTCATTCCCGCTCTAGTCTGTGTGGTCAGCCCTCTCTCCCTGTGTGATTCTCCCATGCCCTATGGCCTCGGCTTCTGTAGGCTGCTGTGTGTCTGTGTGTCTGTCTGTCTGTCTGCCTGCCTTGCTCACACTCTGTGTGTGTCTGTCTCAGACGGTCTCTCTCTCTCATCAGTTTTTGTTTCTTTCTTTGCTCCCTATAGTTCTTTTTGCTCGTTTGTTCTGCTTTTGGAGACGGGGTTTCCTATGGCCCAGGCTAGCCTTGAACTCACTTTGTAGCTGAGGCTGGCTTTGAACTCATGGTCCTCTGGCTGCTGATGGCTGGTATTACAGGTGTGTGCCACCACACCCTGCCCTCCCCTGGCTTTTATACTTGCAGTGGTCTTCCGGCCTCTCTTCTCCTGCTTGCCTCCTGCCCTTGGGGTGACTCTCCTCTTGCTGAGGTCTCTCCTCCAACCTGTAGGGCCCGCCCCCCCCAGCTCTCCTCTGTGGTTGGCTCTGTTTTTCCGTACCGTCCTGGCCTGAGCCTCGGATCTTCGAGTCCTGGGCTTGCCCGGTCCCTGCTCCTGCTTGCATTCCTCGTCTGCTCCTTTGCAATGTCTTTGTTTGTTTGTTTTTGAGACGGGGTCTAACTCTGTAACCTAATATGTCCAACGATTCACTGTGCCACATAGAGTAGGCTCAAACTCACAGCGATCCCCCTGCCTCCAGAGGGTAGGATTTGCGTCCTGGTGTGGATGCCTTACTTAGCGCCTGTCCTTGCCCCCACTTAGCGGTGTGACCACTTTGGGGCTATCTTCCTGTGCCTGTGCTCCGGGACCTCTGTGGTTGCCACCCAGAGTGTGCTTGTCCTGACCCACCTGTGCCTGCCACCTGTGGGTCCCTGCCCTTCTGCCCTGTCTCAGTCTTTGTGTCTGTAGTCCCCAGTCCCCGTTTCTCCCAGATGTCCCAGGATGAACCCCTCCCTCCTGCTCTTCCCCTTGAGAACTCTCCTTCTAGCTCTCCCAGAATTCCTTGCTCCTCTGTCCTGGTCAAGCCTCCACATTAGCTCTAAATTGCAGTCTGCCGTCAACCAGTCTGTTGAGCATGCCCTCCTGTCCCTCAGGCTCTCCTTACCAAAGGCTGAGGGGCGTGGGGAGGTTCTTTCTCAAGGTCACCCAGGAAGTAGGGGCAAGCGTAGGGCTGATACCCTTTCTCCTTGGCCTGGACTTCTCTGCCGTGGAAGCCGGCTTCAAGCTTGGCCCTTTCCCAGCGCTCCTCATTCTGGCTCGTCACCGGCTGAAGTCTTTCCGTGGGGCCAGGTGGGATGCAGGAGGACATTAGACACACTTACTTCATAGTGCTCTGGGCTCTACAATAACCCCCTGGCCCTGGCGCATGGTCTACAACCAGGTGCCCGGGACCCGTGTGCACGCCTAGCAAAACGCATTCCACCCAGTGGCCACATGTCCAAAGATCTGTGTGGAGTGCCCAGAGCACACCCGGACGGGCTGAGGCTAGGTCCGTGAGCAGACGTCGCGTACCCCAGCTCCCCAGAACAAACAGGGTGCACTGGAGTGCCCAGAGCACACCCGGACGGGCTGAGGCTAGGTCCGTGGGCAGACGTTGCGTACCCCAGCTCCCCAGAACAAACAGAGTGCAGCAGCGGTCTCCCAGCTTTCCTTTTCCGTATCAGACCCTCGCTTTCCTTTTCCCTATCAGACTCTCACTGGTCTGCGAGTCCGTCTGTGCCTGTCCCGTGTTCTGTCCCATCTTCTCACCGGTACCCATGCACTGCCCCCTCCCTGTCTGCCTTTATCCTCCCTTTCTCCAGCTTCCATCCTTTGCCTCAGACCCTCCTGCCCCCCCTTCTCTGTCTCACTCCCAGTCTGGTCTCTAACTTCCTTCAGCCCCCTCCTGTTCTCTCCGTTTCTTTTTAGCTGTTTCTGTTGTCTGTCTGCCTGTGTTCCCTTCTCATTTCCCGAGTCTCTGCATCTTTTTGCAGCCTCTCATCGGATACTTTTTTCTACTTCCTCTTTTTCTTCTGCGCTCTCTTTTTAGGTTCTATGTGGAGTCCCCCCCTCTCTCTCTCTCTCTCTCTCTCTCTCTCTCCCTCTCTCTCTCCCTCCTTCCCCCTCACCATATTTCCTTTTACTTTCACCTATCAGACCCTGGGTGCCCAGGCCTCTCTCTCCCATGGGATTGTGGGAACCAGGGACATCAGGAAGGTGGCAAGTGAGGCTTGGGATGGGGTTGCCTAGCAACCACTGCATCCTCTCCAGCCAGTTTCTGTTGCTTAGTAACGGCTGCCTGCCCAGAGACAGGGGCGGGACTGGGGTGATGGTGGCACTTCCCAGTTTCCTGTTGGCGTGGGGCTGGCCCCCAGAATCACCCCTACTTGAAATTGTTAGCAGTGGCTGTCTTACCCGTGACCTCTGACCTTTCCGTCTTCCAGGGCTCAGAACTATGAGCGTGGTGTCTGTCCCCAGTGAGGCAGGCCTTTTCAGAACTGTGCGGTCCTCCCCAGTGATGCCTAGGAGGACTGTGCTTGCCACCCTATCCAGCAGTCGCCCTAAGAGACTCTGCCCCGAACATCAGCCATCTCCCCTGGGGCTGGGGGTCTCTTTGCAGGTGGCGAGTGGGGGCCGCGGCAGCTGCGTCCCCATGAGGAGGAGAGGAAGATGCCGGCTGAGCTGCTGCTGCTGCTGATAGTTGCCTTCGCCCACCCCAGCTGCCAGGTGCTGTCATCACTGCGCATGGGTGAGGCCCCAGCGCCCTGACTCCTCAGAAACTCTCCCTCCAGGCCCCTCCGGGGGCCTCAAGCATCTTGGCACCAAAGTGCTCTGGTCCCCAGCTTCTCCTTCCCCTAGACCCAGGAGCCCAGACAACCCGCTCTCCCGTCTCAGATCCAGGAATCAGACCCTTTATACCCACACACCCCCTTCTCTCCAGAGGCCACAAATCCAAGACCCCACAGCCACCCTTTCTTGGGCCCCAGGACTCTGGCCCCTCCCAACTCCTGTTTCCTCTCAGCTGCAATCCTGGACGACCAAACCGTGTGTGGCCGCGGTGAGCGTCTGGCCCTGGCCCTGGCCCGGGAACAGATCAACGGGATCATCGAGGTCCCAGCCAAGGCCCGAGTGGAAGTAGATGTCTTCGAGCTGCAGCGGGACAGCCAGTACGACACCACGGACACCAGTGAGCGGGGCCGCGGGGGCGTGGGGCGAGGCGGGGGCGGGCATGGGGCGAGGCGGGGCAGGTGGGGCCTCAGCCAGTCTCTCTGGCCTTGGCCTCCTGGCTCAACTTTCCACTCATCTCCTCACACCTGCCACCTTCCTTCATGCTCGTCTCTGCTTCAAGGGAGTGGATGCTGCGGGGTTGTGGGGTTCAGGCACTTTACAGCTCCCCGGCGGGTCAGGAAAGGCATTCTGGGGCAGGCGAGCAGGCAGTGGAGTGTGGCTGTGTTCCAGCAGGCCTTGCAGAGATGGCTGGTCCCATGGGAGGGCTACAGAAGTGTCCCTTGGTACTCGTGGCCCTGGTAAATGGTAGTACCTGCTATCCTAGTCTGCTAGTCTGCTGTTTGTAGCTATGACAAAACTCTGACCAAAATCAACTTGGGGAGAAAAGGGTTTATCTTAGTTTACAGGTTGTGCAGTCCGTCGTGGAGGGAAGCCAGGGCAGGAACTCAGGGCAGGGCCTGAAGCAGAGACCATGGAGGAGTGCTGATTACTGGCTTGCTCTTCCTGGCTTGCTCAGATACCCCCATGGCCAGCCTCAGATACCCCCAGGGGTATTGCCACCCACAGTGGGTTGAGCCATCAATCAAGCAAACACTCCATACAGGCCACCCTGACAGAAGCAGCTCCTCACTTGAGGCTCCATGTTGAGAAAACTAACCAGAGCACTTAACCCCGCTGGGCTGGGGTCACAGCTCTTTGCAACCTTCTGCATTAAGACATGTTTTATGCTGGGCATGGTGGCTCCCCCCTGTAGTCTCAGTACTTAGAAGGCTGAGGCAGGAGAGTTGCAGTGAATTTTAAGCCAGTTTTGGCTACAGAGTGAGTTTCGGGCCAGCCTGAAAAACCAAACCAAACCAAACAACAGACTTGTTAGGCCTGAGATTAGCCTTAGCTTAGTACCCATAATACATGGGTTTGGCCGGGCGTTGGTGGCGCACGCCTTTAATCCCAGCACTCGGGAGGCAGAGGCAGGCGGATCTCTGTGAGTTTGAGGCCAGCCTGGTCGACAGAGCGAGTTCCAGGACAGCCTCCAAAGCCACAGAGAAACCCTGTCTCGAAAAAAAAATGCATGGGTTTGATTCCAAGCACAACAAATAAGTAAGCATGTAAACAGTTTGCTTTCCCGCGGACCTCACATGAGCTTTCTTAGATTGCGGGTGTTTCCAATCACTGAGAAGGAGAAGGCACTGTCCAGGCCTTTTTGATTGGCCTGTCACAGACACGGTCTGGGAGAAGCTGAGGCAGAGGCAGATGGTAGTCCAGCCATGCACTTAGGCTTGAGCCAAGGAACAGGGTGTGGGGTGAGGCCATCTTGGGCAGCTGGAGTCATTATGTGTTTGAAGGGATCCTGAAAAGGAAGCCAAGTCAAAGGAAATCGGGACCCACGTTAGAGAGAGAGATTCCTGTAGAATCTGTAGAATACGGCCATTCCTGGCAGAATCCTGGGAAATCATGAGCTCCTAGATGTAGCCACGTCTGAAATTAGTGTGTAATCCCTTCAGTGGGGATTTATATTCTCATCCTTTCTCTGTCTCTCTCTCCTTCCCTCCATTACCGCCACGGCCTCATACATTTCTAGTCAAGTGTTCTAAGACGACCTCTAGCCTCAGAGTTCCTGCCATGGCTAACCTAAAGCATCTAAACGGGACGTGGCATCTCGGTCCAATCTTGTTCCTTCTGTGTCCTCCGTGTTGAAGGCCCGCCATTGCACAGAGCACATGTCTGAAAGTGGTCCTTGCTCTCTCCCCATCGCTCTCCGAGAGCCGTTAGTCCCGCCCCTCACTTGTCTCCAGATCCTTTTCCTGCCCATCTCCCCTCCATCCCCTGCACCTCTGCCCTACTTCAGGATGGCCAACTCAGGCACGCACCAGCCGCCTCATTCACTACACATAACCGGCTTCAGGTGCTAGCTTCACCCACCGGGAGGGCATCCAGGGCAGCAGAGTGACTGACGCTTGCCAGGCAGAGGAAGCCAGCTCCTGTTTTGCGTTTCAGAAGGAGGCCCACAGAGCTGGGCATGCTGGTGCAGGCCTGTGGGCCCAGCATTGGGACGCCCAGGCCAGAGGAATATGGGCTCAAGGCCAGTCTTGTTTACATAGCAACATCCAGGACAGCCTGGACACACACACAGGCACACACACACATGCGCACACACACACAGGCACACACACACACACACACACACACACACACACACACACACACACACACACACACACGCTTTCACATGTTCTTGGCTTGGCTGTCTCTCTCTGCCTCCCTCTGTCTGAGCAGCCCAGGGACTGGTCCTCTGGAATCCAAGGCAGTGGACGGGGATCCCACAGCTCCGAGCCTCTGGGTCCTCTCCGGGGCGGGGCCAGGGCAGTCTCCTGCGGGCGGATCGGGAGCAGAAGCAGAGACTCCCTGACTCCGGTCTCCTCCCCTCACAGTGTGTCAGATCCTGCCCAAGGGGGTCGTGTCTGTCCTGGGACCCTCCTCCAGCCCAGCTTCTGCCTCCACCGTGAGCCATATCTGTGGGGAGAAGGAGGTGAGGCGGGGCTTGGGGCGGGTTGAGGGGCGGGGCTTGGGGGCGGGGCGGGGATTGGGGCGGAGCGGGGATTGGGGGCGGGGCGGGGCTTGGATCCCCGTGAGCGACACCTCCCTTTCTGTCCAGATCCCCCACATCAAGGTGGGTCCTGAGGAGACGCCCCGCCTCCAGTACCTTCGCTTCGCATCCGTCAGCCTGTACCCCAGTAATGAGGACGTCAGCCTGGCGGTCTCCCGAATCCTCAAGTCCTTTAACTACCCCTCGGCTAGCCTCATCTGCGCCAAGGCTGAGTGTGAGGGCGAACGGGGGTCTGTCTACGCTTTCTCGAGGCCCTTCCCGAGAGCCCGCACGGCTCCCTGGCCCCACCAGGCACCCTCAACTTCCCACCGTCCTTTCCCCCGTTAGGAACTGGGATGCTTGGTTCCGTAGACTCTACCCTCTCGTCCCCGGTATGGTTCACCGGTGGTGAACTCTTTTTGCCAGTTCTCACCAGGCTTGTGGATGGCAGGGGGCAGTGCTAGGGCATAATTTTAAAAATGTATTATTGATTTTTAGTCAGTGTACATTTTCATATGTATTTACATCTCGGTTTGCTGGTAATTGCCCCCCCCCATGCAGCTCTCAGTCTAGGGGAGGCCTCAGGCCATGGAGCCCTTGGGGCGCAGAGGGTACATGGGCTCCCAAGAGATGGGCTGGGCCTTTGGGAAGGGGTCCGACCGTCTGCGAGGCTCGGAGCCCATATCCTAAGAATGCTACCTCTAAGCTGAACTTGAAGCGTTTGGGCGACTATGGTCTGATGGGGGACCTTGTGGGGCAGAGGTGGAAGGCTCTAGAGTGCAGCCCCCAAGAAGTCCCGGAGGTCAGAGCATGGAACAGTGAAGTGATGGGGTCAGGGAAGCCTTAGTGGTTTCCAAGCCACAGCACGGGGTGAGGGGTCAGATCCGTTTCGCGGGGAGACGTGACAGACTGCATAGGGATACCAGTGTGTCAGGAGAAGCGCAGGAGGCAGGAGACGCGCCTTAGGTGAAAGGGTGGCGGTGGACGGAGCGCCAGGCCTCCCTGAGGAGAAAAGTTGGACGGGGTAAGGGAGGGTGCTCAGGTTGTGACTGACACCAGGACTCAGGAGGGAAGGGAGGGCAACCTGCTCGAGAGTGCGCGTTGGGTGTGGTGTTCTCAGAGACGTTCAAGTGTGGTGGTCTGGGGGCAGGTGGCGAGTGTGGAGGCTGTGGGGAGAGGACTGAGCTTTGGAACTTACCGAAGGAATTTCTCTTCCTGGATGTTGTGAGTGCTCACGCGTCAGACTCTCGTGTTAGGAGGACAGCCTTGAGAGGGTTCGACACAAATGCTTGTCCTCGCTAGTCCTCCTTTCCAAGTCAATCCCCTTGTCTGATTCTTAGAGTAAGTTCTCAGGAGAAAGGAGGTCTTATGGACTGGCGTTGCGGGGTAGGGGAACTAGTGGGCGTGGTCTCTTAGAGAAGGCGGAGTCTGAGGACCCAGCTGGGGCGGGGCCGGATTAGCCGTGGAGGTTCCTGGAGAAATGGAGTCCCAGGCAGAGGGGGCAGGACGCTGACTCTGTGTGGCTGGAGCAAGCAGAAGCGTTAAGTGACAGAGAGGAGACGAGACGCTTGGCACAGAGCAGGGCCACATCTGCTTCCACCACTCTGGGGAGCGGACTCGAGCCAGCGTGGCCAATGCAAGAGGCGAGAGATGGCATGGCTCGCGCCAGGGCGGTGACCGCGGTGTGGCATGATAGGAACGGATGTGTTTTGAAGCAGAGACTGGGTGAGTGAGGGAAGCAAAAGAAGAACCCAGCCTGCCATCGAGGTCCTGGCTTGAGCAAGGGCCACATAGCGATTGCCCGTCACCCGAAGGAGGGAGACGGGCAGAGGAGACAATTAAGTGTGTCGGACATTGCGGTGTGTGGTCAGGCATGTGGGAATCTGGGGATATGTCTCAGAGGGGATTTTACTTGGGGGAAATCTCTCCAAGCTTTAAGTCCCCAAACCCAGTGCCCCAAGGGCCCCAGCTGTTCCAGAAACAGCCACTCCATCTTCTTAGCGTGTCTGCCCCATGCTGGGAGAAGGACAGAAACATCGTGGGCTTTGTGTCCGGGCAGGCTCTAACATGGGGTCCCGCCCTCCCTCAGGCTTGTTACGCTTGGAAGAACTGGTGCGGGGTTTCCTCATCTCCAAGGAGACACTGTCTGTGAGGATGCTGGACGATAGCCGGGACCCCACGCCGCTACTCAAGGAGATCCGAGATGACAAAGTGTCCACCATCATCATCGATGCCAACGCGTCCATATCCCACCTCGTCCTCCGTAAGGTGGGTCCCCTCGCTTCCACAGAGCTGGGGGACGCACACCTCCGTGGGGGGTTGTGGGTTTCATAGCGTCTGTTTGTTTGAGAGTTTCCTCCTCACACGAGCCGGGATGGTCCTCCTCTTCATCTGCTATCTCTGTGCAGTGCAGACACCTCTTTGGCTTGGGAGGGCAGCGAGCCTGCAGGGGGGAAAGTCCCCCGAGCCACATTGACCCGGACTAAACGTCTGACTCATCATCACTCTTCAGGGCTCTGTTGTTGCCGTGCCTTGTTTCTTTTTAAGAAGATTTATAATTTCTAATTATGTATGTGGGGGGGTGTGTGTGCACGTAAGTGCCCGTGCCAAAGGTGTGGGACTCCCCTGGAGCTGGAGTCACAGGTGCTTGTGAGCCATGTGGGTGCCGGGAATCGAACTCAGGTCCTCTGCAGAAGAGGTACACACTCCTAACCGCAGAGCCATCTCTCCAGCCCTTGATGTTGGCGAGGCCAGATATCTCCCTGAGGGTAGTTCAGGCTGACCTTGGACGTGAGAACTTTAGGATTTTTCTTGGAGCTCTGTGTTGAGGGTTTACAAACTTCCTTAACTGGGGCTCCCCGCCACCTCACAGAGCAGATACTTTGAACGTTGTGTAGACATAGAATCTGGGATTCTGGAGCACCAAGACCTCTGCCCACGGGCCTAGCACATCCCATCCATCCGTGAGCCACACTCATTAATCATTCATTCACTTCCCCTGCGCTTAATTTTTCTTGATAATCAAATCTGTATTATTTTTCTCCGTTTGTTTTCCGTTTATTTTTCTCTTAATTAAAACCATATGTCACTGCTGATCATAGCCTGCAGGAAGAAGTGTTGAACAGGCTCTTGAGGATAGAGAGGGCTTAGGGAAGAGGCACCGGGTTGGCAGGCCACCTGGGCAGAGAGATCTCTCCCATGGAACTGTGTAGTGACGTCTCTTCCATCCCGCCCTTCCCTGATACCCATGTGGACAAGCCCTGCTCCTACTCCGCTAGTTACAAGCTGGAGCCCTGTGCTCTTAGAACTCTCATGTGGGGTCTGGATGGGAGTTACCCAGTCAGTCCTCCCCGAGGACTGTAAGGAGGAGGGGCTCCAGCAATGAACCCCGAGATTCTGACTGATCGCCTTCAATTGCAGAATTCCCTCCCTTTTCTCCCCCTCCCGCCCCCCTCCTATTGTCTGTCCTCCCCTCCCCTCCCCTCCCCTTCCTTCCTTTTCCTCTTTCCTTTGGATGTTTCTGGGGATTGGATCTGGGGACCTCATAACCGCCAGTCAAGGGCTTTGCCACTGAGCTCTGTCCTCAGTCGCGTTTAACTTTTGTATGAGCCAAGATCTTCTAAAGTTGCGCAGTGGCCTTAAACTCACTCTGTAGCCCAGACAGCTTAAGCCATCTGAGCAGCTGGGATTACAGCCCCGTGCCCCAAGGCCTGGCAACCGGGTGCTTTTTTGATAGATGGACAAACAGGTTGAGCCCTAAACATTGGCAGCGCCAATGCTTTTGGGTGGCTTAGGGGTAAGGTTAAGGACTCTGTCCCGGCCTGCCCCATTCCCCAGGCTTCCGTTTGTCTCCAGGAGGAGGTTTTGAAAGCCTTCATAGGAAACAGTAGACATCCGAGGGCCCCATCCCCTGCTGGGAAAACGGATTTCCCTGGCCCCAGCCAGTGCGGTGGGACACAAGGGACCCTTACTTGTCTCCTGCTTGTTCTTTCTGTCTGGATGTCTTCTGACCAGACCCGCCTCTAAATCTCTCTTCCCCTCTTGGGGTCCCGCACCCCTTTCTCTGCCCCTTGGCCTCTCCTGTGTTCTCCAGGCTTCGGAGCTGGGAATGACATCAGCGTTTTACAAGTACATCCTCACCACCATGGTACGTAGCCTGACCTCTGCCCCCCGCCAACGCCTGCGCCCCGTGTCTCCCAGTTCCCGCCTGCCTCAGGCCTCACCCCTGTTCTTGGTCCCAGGACTTCCCCATCCTGCACCTGGACGGTATTGTGGAGGACTCCTCCAACATCCTGGGCTTTTCCATGTTCAACACGTCCCATCCCTTCTACCCGGAGTTTGTGCGTAGTCTCAACATGTCCTGGAGGGAGAACTGTGAAGCCAGCACCTACCCGGGGCCTGCGGTGAGCGCCTGGATACCGGCCGGCACTCAGACACACCGTGCACCGACTCTGGGGACAGGGATTGTGTGGAGCTCCCTCTGATCGTACCGGAACCCTCTGGGACCCAAGGCCCCCGCAGTGAGGCCCTGCGATGAGTCTAACCCAGGCCGCCTCTCCCTCTGTCAGGGCAGGCACGCCTCAGGGCGCTTGTCTTCCCTGTCCGGGGCCCCACTTTGATAGATCTCCCACAGACCCAGCAGCTCACCACTCACAAGGTTTTGATCAAATGTCTCCTTGGTTGGGAGATCTAACTCGCACTTCCTGCTTTATTATTTATTTATTTAGAGTCAGGGTCTCACTCCGTGGCGCCGCCACACTTCCGGTTCGTTCTGAGGCAGGTCATCTATCCCCCTCTACCCCCCAGAGCTGTTCCTCGGCTCTGCAGTGGAGGACATGAAGCTCGGAAAGGGGCTGAAACGTGACCATTATTAGTTCAGTCAGGACGTACTAGAAGTGGGCTCCCAGCTCAGAGTCACGTCCCTTCACGCCCAGGAACACTTCAACCCACTCTGCGTTCCCACACCACGATGTGCCCCAGGTGCATGAGGACGGTACCAGTGGCTGTCACGCCCGCTTACCTCAACCATGCAGACCTCACGCCCGCTTACCTCAACCATGCAGACCTCACGCCCGCTTACCTCAACCATGCAGACCTCACGCCTGCTTACCTCAACCATGCAGACCTGGCTGTCTCAGGCAGACAACCGGCCGTCGAGGCTAACAACTCTCAGACAGGCCAAGCATGGTGGCGTGTGCCTGTAACCCCAGCATTCGAGAGATAGACACAGACGGATCAGTTCAAGTCCCAGGCCAGCCTGGGCCACATGAGGCCCTGTCTTATAAAAACCAAACAACAGCAAAATAACAAAACCACAGAAATGTCCTTCTGCAAACGGACAGGGCTGTGTACAGTGCCCCCCCAAAGCATGAGACAGTACGCTTCCCCCACTGTCCCCCATGTCCCCAGAGAGACAGTGTAGTCCGTCCTGCACCCCCATCCCACCTCCCGGCTCCCACTCCTGCAAAGACAGGCGTCTGAGGGTTGGGGTGAGCCTGTGGGGGCCTTTGGCGGCTGACGCTTTCTCGCCCCGCCCCGCCTCCCCCTGCGTTCAGCTGTCTGCGGCCCTGATGTTTGACGCTGTGCACGTGGTGGTTAGCGCTGTCCGAGAGCTGAACCGAAGCCAGGAGATCGGCGTCAAGCCACTGGCCTGCACTTCGGCCAACATTTGGCCCCATGGGACCAGCCTCATGAACTACCTGCGCATGGTGAGCCAGGGGCAAGGGGGCGTGGAGGAGTTGGGGAGCACCGCCTCAGGCAGGGGCAATGACAGTGTCTACCCTGCCTACCCTCTCTGCCTATACTCCCCCCCCCCCCCGTCCTGACCCTCCACCCCCTGGGCCTCCTCCTCGTTTCTGCGTCCTGTCCGTCCTTGCCACCGTCCCTGTCGGGGTTACGCGCTCTTTGGGACCCTGCCCCCCTGTGCCTTCCCGCCTCCCTCTGGGTCCCGCCTCCCCTCCCTCTGCCCCGCCTCCCGCCCTGCTAGGTAGAGTATGATGGGCTCACCGGACGGGTTGAGTTCAACAGCAAGGGACAGAGGACCAACTACACACTGCGCATCCTGGAGAAGTCCCGTCAGGGCCATCGTGAGGTGAGCAGGCCCGGGTGACACCAGAGCCCTGCTGGGATGCCGCCCATAAGCCTTCCAATATTATGAACAGGGTCTATGTATGCTGATGACGTCTGTCTCCTATGTCCCCAGATAGGGGTGTGGTACTCAAACAGGACCCTGGCCATGAATGCCACTACCCTGGACATCAACCTGTCACAGACTCTAGCCAACAAGACACTGGTGGTGACGACTATCCTGGTGAGTGACCCCAATGGGCCAGGGGAGGGGCCCTAGTGTGGGTCTTCCCTGAACATCTTTGATGCCCGTCATATGGGGAGGAGTCCCTCAGGTAGCGCCGGGCAGGGTACGGTTTAATTGGGAGTGTGTCCCACGCACTCAGCAGCCCCAGACCGTGACCAAGGCGTCTCCCCTCCAATCACAGCGAGAGCGGGAGAGGGCACCGCTCTGCCGTGGGAACCAGGCTCTGCGTTAGGTCCTTGATAATAGCCATTGCGAGAATGACCCTTTTGTCACACCTGCCAATCTCACGTGTCAACAGACGCCAGCCAGCTTGTTCAGTGTCCACCTTGGAAATGTGGGCACCTAGGGTCAGAGAGGTGACGTAGCAGCGAGTGCGTGGCAGAGCCAGGACTGGAGGCCTCGCCTCAAAGGCTGGAGTCTGAGTCCTAAGTGCTGAGCTTTGAAACTCTACTCCTTGACCCCGAGCATCAAGCAAGGGGACCAGCCAGTGTCATGGGGGCGTGGGCCTTACGTGTCAAGGGGCTGGCACCTGTCTCAGTTGGTAGAGTGCTTCCCTAGCCTGTATGAGGTTGCAGGACCGGTCCCCTGCACCCCAGGCTCCACACTCAGGAGGTGGAGGCAGGAGGCTCAGGAGTTCAGGGTCAGCCTGGGCTACATAAAAACCCGTCTCCAAAAGGAAAAACGGTTGTTGGGAACCTCTGTGTACGGGACCTTTTCTAGGTGTCTGTCTTGACCTCACAGCTGCTCTGTGATGAAGCGGTTTTGTTTTCCTGCTGGGAACAGTAAGGAGAGTCCCTGTCTGGGCGCAGCATCAGACTGAGCCTCCGCATTGCCTCCCGCTGCCCCCTGGAAGCACTGTGTCACACAGGGGGTGACGCACAGGGCCTGGTGGGCTGGAGCAGCTGGGCCCGGGGGCTTTCCTCTCAGCACCAGCCAAGTCCGTGGCCTGCAGCTTGCCTTGTTCACACGCTGAGGTGGGCAGCTAATCACAGAGACTCGGAAGTTCAGAGACAGTTTCCAGAGGGTGTTAGGAACCCTTATTAGCAGCCAACCCCCCAGGGAACTTCTGACCTCAAGCGGACCTCAAATACCCCTGGAGAAGCGCCAACGAGTCTGTTGTAGAGGGACAGATGGCTTGCAGGCAGGAAACCAGACACCTCCTAATGGTCCCGCTGAGGGGCCTTGAGGCCTGATTGGTGGGGGCTGCGGGCACCTATGTGTGCAATGTGCTTCGTCCCTGATATGTCCTGGAATTGAACGAGATGGGAGAGCAGGGCTAGAGGTCAGGAGGGGGATTTCAGGAGAGTCCGCAAGGCCTGAGAACCAATGTCACTCTTGACTCGTGAACTCCAATCTTTTTCTTAATTCCTTAAATATTTGCTCTAGCTGCTGTGTCCCTGGCCAGGCCCAAATTCTAGAGACACGGAAACGAGTCAACAGGTGCTCCCCAGGGGCACTGAAGGGGAGGTGGTGCCAGCTTGACAGAGGTCACACAGCAATGCCTGGGCACTCATTCCAAACCAGGTCATGAGCAGTTCCCAGAGATAAAGACAGAGAGAGAGAGGCTGGAGGAAGGGCTTCCAGGTGAGGCACAGGGGAGCAGTAGGGCCATGTGGATATAGGTCAACGTAACAGACATCCTCAGTGTGTACAGCTGGACACATCCCGGTTCATCAACAGTTCTCATTATTTTATTTATTTTTATTTTATTATTGAGACAGTGTCTCCTTATGTAGCCCTGGCTGCCCTGGAACTCTATATAGACCAGGCTGGCCTCGAATATCCAGAGATCCGCCTGCCTCTGCCTCCCGAGTGCTGGGAAGAAAGGCGTGTGCCGCCACACCCAGCCGGATGCCTGACACAGGCATCCGCCGTGAACATGGCTGTCAGCACAGTCCTGTGGCTGAGCACACTGCCGAGTCTTCAACTTTCAGAGCCCTGAGCTCAGCACTGGCCCGGAAGCCACTTTCAGATGAGGTGGAGGCAGGGGCGGGCACGCAGACGCGTTCAAGATTGCCTAGCTGGAAGGTGTCAGAGCGGATCTGAAGTGACAGGACCCGTGTGATTGTCCTTGACACCACGGCACTCGCCTTGCGGGTCTTCCTGTCCTCGGGCTTGTGTGATAGGCTTGACATGTACACCCCGTGTGACCTGAGCAGCGCTATCATCTATGCTCCAGCTTCCTTTCCAGTGAGGGAAAAAGGACTGGAGAGATGGCTCAGTGGTCAAGAGCACTGACTGCTCTTCTGAGGATCCAGGTTCAATTCCCAGCACTGTCTGTAACTCCAGCTCCCAGGGCGCTGATGCCCTCTTCTGGCATCCATACACATGAAATAATAGAATTTAAAAGGGAAGTGATAAGCTGGGTGGTGGCTCATGCCTTTAATCCCAGCACTGGGGAGGCAGAGGCAGGCGGATCTCTGTGAGTTCGAGGCCATCCTGGTCTACAGAGCGAGTTCCAGGACAGTTAGGGCTACATAGAGAAACCCTGTCTCAAAAAACCAAAACAAAGCAACAAAAGGTGAGAGGATAAAGTAATCCTGACAGACAACAGGCTTGGCTTAGGTCAGATGTCATAACTGCGCCCCCAGAATTCATGCACATGGATTTGGGTCCTGGCTTACTAAAAACCAAACAGCTTGTCAGGAATGGTCTATGATCTTCCCTACTTTATTTACATTTGTTTTTACTTTCAAGAGGTCTTCTGTCCCTATACTGTCTCCTGCTGGGGATCAAACTCAAGGGTACCTCACTGGAGCATTCTAGGCAGGGGCTCTACCACTGAGCCACACCCCAGCCCCTCACTGGGGGATTCTAGGCAGGGGCTCTACCACTGAGCCACACCCCCAGCCCCTCACTGGGGGATTCTAGGCAGGGGCTCTACCACTGAGTCACACCCCAGCCCCTCACTGGGGGATTCTAGGCAGGGGCTCTACCACTGATGCATACCCCCAACTTCAAGAGGATTTTACAAAACTGTAACATACACATATATACACTTGTGACTTGCACAAATTAGAAACCTTGTATCTCTGAATTTTCAGAAACTAAACTTAGGCTGACTTAACCAACTCCCTATTGTGAAACTGTGCCTCTTCTAGTCACTAACCCGCCCACTTTTGTACTTATAAATGTGGTTATATTGTGTGTTGTCACACCTGACGCCTTTTGCCCCGTGTCTTTATAAGAACTGTGAGGTTTCGTCTCATGACAGTTTACATTATCTGTCAAACGTAGATGGGTATTGGATCTTGTTGTGAGTCATTGCTCTGAGAACATTGTTTTGCATGACTTTCATGACGTTGTTTTGTTGTTGTTGTTTGTTTTGTTTTGTTTTTTCGAGGCAGGGTTTCTCCGTGGCTTTGGAGGCTGTCCTGGAACTCGCTCTGTAGACCAGGCTGGGCTCAAACTCACAGAGATCCGCCTGCCTCTGCCTCCCCAGTGCTGGGATTAAAGGCGTGCGCCACCACCGCCTGGCCATGACCTTGTTTTGACACTTCTCTGTGGTTGTGTTCTGAGGAGTGGGGCCGCCGGGTCACCCTGTATCTGAGCTTTAGCAGAAGTGGCAAAAGCCTTTGCCAACATGACTGCCCAATTTCTATCCTCCCACAGTGTGCCACTGAGTATTACTTCACTCTCCAGTTTCCCTGGAGATGGTACATCAAGGTACCGCAGCCCATGACGATGACGAGGACAACGGGTGCCTTTTGTATCTGGCCACCTTTGTGTGCCGCTTGACCTTTTAAAAAAATCCTCTTTGGGGGGTGTTTTTGAGATGTTGGAGCTTAGGAAGTGGGTGCACAGCTGTGATCCCGAATTGAGGGGTAGAGGTAGGGTGACTTTGGGTTCAGACCAGCCTGGGCCTCATAGAGAGACTCCATCTAAAAATAAACAAGAACTGGGGTGTGGCTCAGTGGTGAGCCCCTGCCTAGAATCCCCCAGTGAGGGGCTGGGGTGTGACTCAGTGGTAGAGCCCCTGCCTAGAATCCCCCAGTGAGGGACTGGGGTGTAGCTCAGTGGTAGAGCCCCTGCCTAGAATCCCCCAGTGAGGGGCTGAGGTGTGGCTCAGTGGTAGAGCCCCTGCCTTGCTTGTGTAATAATACCCTGGGCTCCATCCCACCACTGTCCCCAAGTGGGGAGGGGGGGTATGACCTTTTCGTTAATTTTAGAATTACACTTTCTGGAGACATGTCCTTTGCCTGAAACCATGTATCAGGGACATCTTCCCACCCTCTGTGAGTCACCTTGCCTATTTTTAAAAAAAGGATTTAAAAAAAATTTTTATGTACATGGGTGTTGTGTATACATGTATGTCTGTGTGAGGGTGTCAGGTCCCCTGGAACTGGAGTTACAGACAGGTGACAGCTGTGAGCTGCCGTGTGGGTGCTGGGAATTGAACCCTGGTCCTCTGGAAGAGCAGCCAGTGCTCTCAATCACTGTGCCACCTCTCCAGACCCTAAAATGGTTTGTTTATTATGTTTAAATTTCATTTTTATTTTTCGTTTGCTTTATGTGTGCCTTAGTTAGTTTCTGTTGCTCTGGTAAAACACCTTGATAAGAGCAACTTGGGGAGAAAAGGGTTAATCTTACAGCTTGTTGTTCATCTTGCTTGGAAGCGAGACAGGAACCTGGAGGCCGGGTCTGAAGGAGGTCATGGAGGATCGATGCTTACTGGCTTGCTCTCCATGGCATATTTAGCATGTTTTCTTATGATGCCTGGGACCTCCAGCCCAGAGATGGCACCACCGCAATGAGCCGAGCCCTCCTATGCCTATTGCTAGCTAAGAAAATGCCCTACAGGCTTGCCCACAGCCTAGTTTAATGGAGACATTCTTTCTTTCTTTCTTTCTCTCTCTCTTTTTTCCTTTTTTCGAGACAGGGTCTCTCTACAGAGTCCTAGCTGCCCTGGAACTCGCTCTGTAGACCAGTCTGGCCCCAAACTCACTGAGATCTGCCTGCCTCTGCCTCCCGAGTGCTGGGATTAAAGGCTTGGAGAA